CTCTCTCTCTCTCTCTCGCTCTGTCTGTCTGTCTGTCTGTCTGTCTGTCTGTCTGTCTGTCTGTCTGTCTCTCGGTGTGCTTCTCTATGTGCCTTTATTTGCCTCTCTGTCTGTTTATCTCTCTGTCTTTGTCTGTATGTCTCTCTGTCTTCTACTCTCTGTCTCTATCCTTCTCTTTTTCCCAATCTTTTTTCTGTTTGCCTCTCTTAAAATTAATCTAGACTGCGGTGTAGCGCTTAGGGGCTTCGCTATTGCACACAGAAGACCCAAGTTAACACACCGAGGGGGGGGGGGGTGACTTTTTTTTATAGAGTATATCGATCTGTCTGGTGGCATGTTGTATCCCTCTCAGCCCGGGTTGGCCTTGACATGCTGGACCGGAAGCTAACCAAATTGTGTCAATAAGGACTTATAACACCTGCATTAAAGATAAAAAGATTGATCTATATCTGTTTGCGTTGGTCTGCAGAAAAATATGGAGTTCCTGCCTGTCTGCTGGTCCTGGAAGGAGGGGAGGGAACCCTGGAGAACTGGTTCTCTGCCCTCCAAAACGGCATCCCTACCGTCATCATAAAGGTGCGTGGGTGGCTGGTTGCTGCTCTGCTGTAGTTTAGTCCTTTCAAATAAAAAATCTATCGTCCTTATCTCTCCTTCTTCTTTTCTTTCTTTTACTCCCCAGTGACATCTCTAATCTTCGGCCCTTATATGGCCTATTTGTGTTGCAAGTGCTGTAAAACGTTTACTAAAATCAGAACAATTGAGTTCGCCGGTGGCTCGTTGTGGAAAAGGGGGGGGGGGGCGGTGGTGTGGTTTTTGTTCACTTGTTTTTTTTAAAAACATGTTTTCCGTTTGTTTTTATTTTGTTTTGTAGGAGTTTTACGGCGCTTGCAACTGCAAGAGGTCATATGAGTGTAAGGACGAACGTTGATAACAAATTTCGGTCATGGCAGTGCCCCGCCCAGGATCTTAAGATTCCAGTCTGTAGGCGACCATGACAGAGCCCAGTTCAGTTCTAGGATATTATAAGTCGGCTGTGCGTGACTGCACGAACGGGTTGTATGAGGCCTAGCTTAACCTTTCAACATGAAATGAAGAATGATTTTGTCAATTTGTTATTGTTTTAGTGTCTAATCGGCAGTTTGCACTGTATGCTTCCCGTGAAGCTGAGAATGTTTCTGAATGTTCTTGAGTCTGATAGGGTATTAAAATGAACTGATTTTGAGTGCTCCACGGTCTTTTTTCTTTGTTTTAGTAAGAGTTTCACGACACTTGCAACATATTAGATCACATGAGCGCCGAAGATTAGAGGTGTTACAAGAGAGAAACAAACAAACAAAAAAGAAGGAGGAGAAAAAAAAACGATAGATGTTTAATAGAAAAGAAGGAGCAAACCACACCAGAGCACCGACAACCAGCTATTTCTAGGGTCTGCTAGGCCAGTAATATAGAAAACATCTGTTTTACATGCTCTCAGTGTTATCTGCCTTTCTTATTTCTTTACACCAGCTTCTACTTTTACGCCTTTTCTCCCTCACACCTTTTGTCTGCTTCATCTTTTGCGTTTCCTCCCTCCCACTCACCTCCCACTCTCGATGCTTTTGCTCATGCCGATCCCTCACACACACCCTTCTCCCACATCCCCCTCTCCCCTGTCCCCCTACCCTCCCAACCCCAACCCCACC